GAAAATTGAAAAATTTTAAGGTATATATAGTTATTGTATCATATGTAGTTGCTGAGAAATAAGCTTTCAAAATTTCGACATAAATGGCTCATAAATGACGTCACAGGTCGATAATCAAAAATCTAGGTCCAACAAGTTATGAGCATTTTTAAAGGCTACAAAATGAGCTAAAAAGCAAAGCCTTTGATTAAGTATTGAAAAAGTTATTCAATTTCTTAGTTTTTCAACTTTGAACCAGTTTTTGAACCGTTTAAACCGATTAAACCGGTTCAAAAATAGCATAATTAAATAGCTCTTTGGATGTCAATTCCAACAATATATAATATGTCTATGTTATCTTCTATAGTTTTAGAGTTATAACAAGTAAAAGAACAAAATGCAATTACGACATTTTTCCCCAGAATCATTCATGTTAAAAATTAAAAGCAATAAACAACTATGATTATGATTGACATAAATGCTGTTCTGATTTATCATAACTTTGATTTTATATCATAATTTGGTTTCAATGCAGATTATATTTATGTCCTGTATGCTTTTTAATCATAAAAGTAATCAAATCAAATAGATTTTTTACTTAATTTTAATTGTTGTCGGATTTATTACATTTTAACATTAAGCAAACCATACTCTCAATATTTTTTTTCTCTTTTTGTTCACTCTCTGAGCAAATCCTCTCACTTTTTTTGAGAGAGACTCTTAAATTGAGCAAACACAAAATAACAACAAAAGTCTCCCGGCTTTTGAGAATGAGGAAATCACTGAATGATGTCCGTAAACACATTGTTTAAACGTGTGTAAACATGATTCTTTTTTTTTGTAGCTCTCATCATTGTTCTACCTTTCATTGATAACGTAATATGATTCTTAAATTTTTTAAGCTATTAAGATTCAAATGACGTTACAAAATTTCAAACATTCATAATAATTTTATTGTGAAATTCATTGTACTGATGTTTTACCAGGCTGGACATGTCATTAGGTGATTTTGTAGATGGCAAAAGATCACGTGGACATCCCAAGAACTCTTCTCTTGGAAAGAAGCTGTTGACAGAGACAGTATTGTATTTGGTATGTGTGATTGGCAAACGGTACCCAGCGATAGAGCTAGCTTCAGGCGCCAACTAAGGGAAATCATGGATCACAATTGACCTGTACGGCTAGCGAAGTAAGAAGAAGATGTTTTTCCAAGGCTCCCGCAGATTATAATCTTTAAATAATCCCATAAAAAGATTATAATCTTCGTTTTTAAAAGATTATAATCTGCGGTAGCCTTGTGTTTTTCATTGAGTAGATTTAAAATAGAAAAAAGCATACTAATTTTCAACTGCCACTCACTTAACAGTTTCTCAACAGCTGGTGAGTACTCTATAATATGAGATTGCTATACTTTATTAAACAAATGGATTTATTTTGAAAAAAAAATGTTTTTAATTGCATTAAAAATCAAGGCTTCTTAAAATGGGGACAAAAAGAAGTTTACTTGGAAAATTCAGAGGCAAGGGGGGGGGGGGGGGGGATTTTTATGTTTTTTTCATAAAACTCCTAGCAAAATGAAGAAATTTCTGTTAACGTTGGGGGATTTGTCCCCTGAATCCCCCCCTGGTTACGCACCTGCTATAAGGTTGATATAATGACTATGATGTTAAAGTAGTTCAGTCTAAAGAGTGTCTAAGCTTCCACTGAAGAAAGTTTTAATTAATAACGATTAAGTCTAGTTAACTCTACCCCTTTAAACTGTGATTAGTCATGAATCTTGCATTAGCAAAAATATAAATTCCCGGCATTTTTTTAATGATTAAAATCTTATTTCTTTTTAAGAAATCATTTTTCACAAACCAATTTGCCAGCTGCATTATAAATTTTGATGATAACACAAATGGTATTTTTTTTTTCATTTTAAATATTACTGGTTTCAATTTACAATGAAAATAATTGTTAAACCATCTGAAAAGGATTCATTGAAATAATGAGTAATCATTCCCGTACAAATATTTCAATTGAAAAGCAGCGAAACAATCGCTCAGAGTTGAAGAGCAAGAAGAACGTCATTGAAATGAGGGTAACTCGTCAACAGCTTTTAAGTAATAATAAATAATGAAAAAAAAATTCCTGGAAGCATGTTAAAAATTTTTATTTCATGTTAAGCCAGCATGTACAATACACAGTTGAATATACTTTTTCCCATTTACAGCTGTTGCACAAACAAAGCAAAATTAATAAGAAGAGGAGAGGAGAAGTAAAATAAAATGAAATAAAGTAATAATAAAGTCAATTATTTCGGTCAGTTGGCAGAAAGTCATATTGAATACAGTTTGATTGTCAACGAGTTCCAAGAAATTTTACTTTATATGATAATTATAAAGAGTTGAAGTTTTTACTACCATGGACACTGTATGATTATATTATTATTTTAAAGACATGAGATGTTATAAAGAAGAAGGATTTGACCGCATGAGTGTTAAAATCAATTCAGCACTATCAAAATAATAATGATATATTTATGTCATACATGATATTTGATACGCTCACCACAGACTCTTCAACTGTGTCTTAATTAACCATTTAAATTTATTCATAAGTAAATTATTTGACGAGGAAATTCTTAAAAGAGTTACTAATTAATATTATTAAATATGACATATTTATCCAACCGCAAGACAAAAATGTTGGTTCACAAAGCATAGTGGAATGTCCGTTTCATTACTTCACACATTCATATTTCTACGAATTTTTTTTTTTAATTTTGTGGCATTCAAAAACGAAAAAGAGAAAATTTCACAAAAAATATAAGAATTCAACGAAACGATCTCCCTTCGGTATTCTTTCTTCTCTTCTTCTATTCATACTTCTTCCTTTTTTTTTCTCTTCAGCTCAAGCAGCTTTTCCAAGAAATTTGCTTTTGTTCAATAACAATTGTTATTATCAATTTCTTTCCCCTATTCCTTTTTTGCGAATGTTCTCTTGGTTATTACTCACATTTTTTAAAGACAAAGATCCCTCTTGAGAAAATAATATAATGAAATATAAAAAAAGGCTAAATTGAAAATAAGAAGAAGAAGTAACAAAAAGAGATGTTCTGTATGGATGATCATTTTATTTATTTCTTCATTTAATATTTCACAATTTTCATTTTTGCTTATATTTTGAGCCTTTTTGATGCTAAAGGGAACTAAAGGAAAATTTTTTTTCTTAAGAATAAGAATAACAACAATAATAATTGGCGGAAGGCTCGAAGACAAGAAAGAGGAATACAAGGAATACAAAAAATATATAAATGATCTCGTGAACTTTAGATGACAGTATGCGCATTTCACCTTCAACTTGAGGCAATAATAATTCAAAGCTTGATCAATATGAAATTATATTTATATGCCAAAAGACAGTCACATTTATTGTATTAATGAGCATCTGCTTTGGTTCTTTGACAAATGTCATGAAATTTTTTTAGCATTAACATGTAGCTTTGAAAGTAGCTGATAAGAAAATGATGTTTTTCTTATGTAAATTCAGAGTGAAGATTAATTTGAACATCATCACGGACATGACGTCGGATAGGAAACAGAACTCATACAGTTGAAAAAGAATGCTCAAGAAGAGACGAGTTTTTGGACTTGAGATAGCAAAGAATAGATAAACGTCATGTTATGCACGCTATAAAGCACTAGCCATTATAATAAAAGATTTCTTTCGCCATTCACTAAAAAAGTATGCAGAAAAGGAAAAATAAACTGAACGAAAATGCATAAAGCAGAAGAATAAATTCCGATGAAATCAATTTTCTGGAATCCATTCGGCGAAATATCTTTTCATTTCGCATTTTTATTTTTGTATGGTATGAAAAGAAACGAACGAGTGTATGAGAAGAAAAGTGTAGTCATGTGGTTTTAGTTCTCATATCAAGATCTTCTTGCATTATGGCAAGAAATTGGCAAGAACCGTTGAAAGCAAAATTCGCAAAAATTATCATTAACTTTAAACAAAAATATACAAAATAAATGAAACAATTCTCATTAACCATAATTCTCAAAGGAATCGATTTTCGCCTGAATACTTTACAATATCTTTATGCTCTTCATTATATTGTGTTGCTGTGTGGGGCATAAAGTAAAATATTTTACTGATTTTTTGACATGTTTTAAAGAAACGATGAATTGTTCCACAGAATTTTTGCTTTGTCAGACTTTAATATCTCAATTCCTTTATGCATTCTTTCTTTTTTATCCAACTTCTGTCAAAATCGTTTACCTGAACATCCAAATGCTCTTTCTCAATTGTCCTTTTTTGGCATGCCAATAAAAATTAATATCTTATCTCTCTTTACGCTTTTTTTCTCGGTTCTTAAGGTGCAAAATACTCCTTTGTATTTCAAGGATTTTACAGATATGAGCAGATATACAGATTCTTGTATTGTTGTCATTAAAAGATCCTAAAAAAATAAATAAAACATTAAACCGTTTACGGTTCTTAACAAATTTTACATTTATTTTCTTTCTTCTCCTTTTCCTTATTCAGTTTTTATAATTCATGTGGAAGGCCATGAATGATTGTAATTTACTTTAACACCTGTGGAAGGCCAGTTTTCTATTCTTATTCTAATGGATTAAGTATCCTTGAATTTTGCCTATGTAAAAAGTAGCAACACACCTTAAGAAGCAATATTTGCATTTTCTGGATCGCATTTTATTGCTTATTTTTTTTTCTTAGAAAATATGCCTTCAGGCGTTGAGAAATTTATGCATCTACAGAGAATGAATAATGTAAAATTTTTTATGGTTTCTAAAAAGTTTTATGTGTAATATTCAAACTATGTAAGCGTGAAATATACGAAAAAAATGAAATTTTGCAAGAAGTAAGACGAAAACAATGCGAGAGAGTATCAAGAGAATATACTGCACTTCCCTCTCTCTACAAACAACAGTTCTCTCTCACAACAGATTTTGCATGAGAAATGAACAAAAACACATTTTAAAATAGTCACACATTACTTTCAATCGTTTGCCGGCAGTCAATGAATATAGTTGAAAAAATAGAAAGCTCAAATTTTAAAAATATAAATTAAATTTTATTCTTTAAAAGAAACTAGATAAGACTTTGTCGATAACATTTTTAATAAAATTACGTTCATTTTCGTATATCAACAATACTTATTTATTTATTTTTATCAAAATTTGCGTTTGGTGTTCGATAAAATGTGTCAGTGAATTAATTCTTGGAAAACAAGATAGACATTATACAAGTTTCGATGAAAAAAATACAAATTATCAACGTAATTTTATCGCAAACAAGCAGTGAAAGCAGCAGAAGTTAAGCAATAGTATAAAAAAAATATTAGTGACATATACTCAAAAATAAAATAAGAAAGAAAACCCAGTGACTCAGACAAAATGACGCAAAGACTGAAGATTTCCAATAAATTAAATGATCTCATAGGTAGCTTATTTATAGTGATTTCATTAATTAGTGTAACAAAAGCCAACAATAGTATTACATTAACTGATCATTGCACGGATAGGAGATTTGTTAACTCTCTTAACACAACATTTATGCAATTTACAAAAGAGACTGTAGATCAAGAATATGCTGTCGAAGGTGATTTTAAAGGACTCCATTGTTGTGCGAAAGGATATCGAAGCATTGAATGGTAAGTTATGAAAATAAAATTAACGAGAAAGGTCTCCTTAATTTAACATCAGAAATAATTGAATAAATTTATGAAAAGTCCTTTCATTATCCAAAAAATATAAACGCCGTCCTGGAATGTTGAAGCAATGAAATCCTTTATACTATCCCACATTCTAAGAATTTTCCACTTCAGTTCTTTATCTCCACGCTCGCTTTGGTGATTTGCTTCCTTCCTCGCATATTTTAAAAATCATTCGCCCAACCTTTAACCCAATATTGTAGAAAAGGTTGTATGCTAACGAAGGTACATCATCCTATCATAATATGAAAAAAAGAAAATTTCTCCAACGTTCTTAAACTTTTGCAAAATTCTTGGAAGATACAGAAACCCATGCATAAATTGTACACGTGTAAAATTGGGAGAAAGAGAGATGAAAATGTGGCGAGATTCAGTGGGAGAATTCTTAGAATTTCCCTATCGACAAATGTTCTCTAAATGCTTTATGCGCAGAATCCAATTATTTTTATTCGTACATCAACATTTCTTGTATCGAGAAAATGAGAAGCTTGCAGAGAAGACTTCCGAGAAATTGAATAATATGAAATGAGATTTATATAGCAACTAAGAGAGGAATACTAAGGAAAATACATTTTTTATATAAAATCCTTTTGTATCTGAAATATAGTAAGGATAGCAACAAACCCAAATTATAATTGCTTTTTCAACAAACAAAAAAAAACATTCAGAAATCCATTTTATCAATTTGCTATCAAAATATATTTTCATTGTCAATCCAGTTGAATGCCTCGTAATAAAGATGCTTAAAACAATCAAGCTTGGTGTAAAATAATCATCCCAATTTGTTAAATGTCATGAGCTTTATGTACGTAATGCTTTCACTTTTACAATTGGATCAAAGTTCCTGAAGAGTTCAAAAAAAAGGACGAGTGGAGAAAGGGAGGTTTTACTCATTCTATTACTGGAAAATGATCCTATTAAGTACAGCATTAAATTTGTTCCTTCCTTACCTTTCCATTCCAATGCTCATTTACGCTCGAAGAGAATTCAACATCGTCAACATTTACATTGACTTGCTAAGCAAATAACTCAGCGGAAAAACTATAAGAAATAATTTCCAGGTATTGACAGGTACCGAAATGAAAAAATTGAGTTTAGTAAAACAATTAGAAAAATTAAATAAAGAAATGTGTTAAAAAGATGACACATTGTTGAAAGTGATACTGTTTAAATACTTCCAATTATTTTTGTTGATTCATCAAATGTACTACATGAGTTTTTTGCTTTATAGCTTGCATATAATGAAATTTTTGAATAAAATTTTATTTAATGCCTCTTTAAATACTTTATAATTATAATGCAAATAATATAATTATCCGAAATTTATTACATTTAAATTCCTAATAGCTGCCATTAAATATTTGAGTCAGTTTTAACAAAATTCAATCATTAAACGGAACCAAAGACAGTTTCCGTTTGTCAAAACTAATTGTCTTGAATAGCTTTTCATAAAAATTAATGTAGACTAGTTCCGTTTTCAAAGAAAACAAATTGGAGATCATGTTTATTAAAGGACAGATCTCAAATGAAATTTTTTTTTTGCATTCTCCGCCTTTGTCTCATTCTTTGTCATCGTCAGCAACATGTAATGATAAATTTGATACTTTAAATATTGACAATTAGGTTCCCATGGAAAAAAAATTACAAAATGTATTAAAGTAGAGACAAAAAAGCATAAATAGGAAGACCCACAAAGTTCTTTACTCTACATGTGCAGTTTATTTCTGAGAAAGCAGCTCAAGTCATCGAAGCAACAAGGTGTGAAATGTTCATTAACATTCTCGCTTGTGTTAAATATTTTCATCACACGTTAACCGCAATGAAGAATAATATGATATACTGATATGGAGACACACAGGAAATTTTCGTATTTCTTTGGTTTCCGATCAATTCATAAAAGCACCTCTGTTTGATTCAATATATATAGTCTTCCTCTATAATTCACGATGTATAAATTGCTTACATTTTGAAAGCTTTAATTTGTGTTATATTGATGTCTATCACGAGTAAAATAAAATGAAATTTACGTGATTTATGGATATACCTAAGGCTAAAATTTTTGATTATATGCTCATGCATTCTTATTTTGCAAATTGCGAACGTAAAAAATTGCACCATATCGGATTTCACGTCTTTTAACTATCTTTTCCTTTCCATTCTTTCGTCAAACACCAGCGATCATAATCATATAGACATGAATATATAAAAAAAAATTCTTCAATACTTGTTTTGTCTTACCTCACAGTTATGACTAACAAGTAGTTTGGTTTTTCTTGCAGCAATATTTTAATGTTGGATTTTTTTTGCTCATACTTACCATGATCAAACGATCCTTCTCTTTATTATGTACCTATTTCTCCTTCTGTCCCTACTTTCTTATGAACTTTTCATGAGGAACATATGAGTTGCACTTTTTTCTATACTGACGTATGTACGTACCTCCATGGTGATATAACAATGATTGAGAATTCTTCGTTCCTTATCAGTTTAAAATACCTGTCATTTACGTAGTCTTATGAAAATATTGAGAGCCATAAAATTTTATTTTTTTTTCGATGACTCATCAAAAACGTGTTCTCTCAGGAAACTCTTATGACATAGCTACGAATGAGCAATGAATATCGAAAATAGAAAAAAAATCATTTTGACATTTCTCATGTCTTAAAAAGAAGAGTTTAATGATCAATGGTAATGCTATTTCATCATATTGTTCATTCTTGTTCAAAAAAAAATCTCAAATGACAGCGACCCTTTCATCTGTTTTCTTATAAATGATTATTCATTTTTAGTGGAATTATGCCGTTGAATTAGAAACAAGTTTTCTTTTTATTCTTTTTAATTTCTCTCTTCACGGTTCTTTACGTTCTTCTAAATTGAAATTAAAAATGAAAAAGAACCCAAAAGAGCCATAAAAATTCTGCGAAAATTTCTTCTTCCTCTTTGCTTTTTTTTTTGTCGAGAACCTTTTATGAGAGCACTTCATTCAGGATGTCCATCTGCTTGATTTTTATTTTTTTGTTGAGACGACAATGAATTTTAAACAAATATTTGCTGAAATAATCATCACAAAAAATAACTCAAGAATTTTAACATCACCTGCAACCGTTAGATGTATAAAAACCGCGAGACTGATGACGCATGTAGTATACAAATAGTTTACGCGTTTTTGGATTTCCCAGATTTACTTTTTTCTCTCAAGACCGGATTTTTTGGATATACCGGCAAGTGTGGAATCTTTAAAGAAATAAAAAATAACCAAATTTTAATCAAATTGATGTGATATCAACAAAATATATACACATTCAAAATCATGTGAGTTTTACATCATTCACACTTTATCAATCTTTTAACATGATAATAACACAAAAAAAAATTGTAGAGGAAATACACGATTGATTGTAAATAAAATATTTATTTCACAATTCCATGAAAATATCGTCATTAATGATTACATCAGTTATTACTCATTTCGTTAAAATTTCTCATAGAAATGCTTTAAAAGTAGATAATTATTATAGTACTTTTTCATTGTCCAATAAACCAAAACAGGAAACTCCTATTAAATTCATAAAAGATAATTTATTCTATTATTTGATAACTTTCTTCAATTAAAATAAGTATTGTGTTACAAACTGATTAAATTTAAATTTTATTAATTTTTCATTAAAGGTTAAAAGACGGCAGAAGTTATCCATGGTCATCAGAGGATACATCATCACTAATTGTATACCCAGATGCAGAAAATCAAACGATTTTCACTAGAAAAGCCTCAAAAATCGACGAGGGAAAATACACATGTGTTCTTAGAAATGCAACACACAAACTGGAACATCACATAGAGTTAAAACTTCAGAGTTCATCGCCTGACATTCCCTTAGCAACATTTAAACCTGTCGATCAGTTTGCAAACGTTGATGGATCGGCGAGATTCTATTGTGAAGCATTTATTGGAAAGAAAGCACTTCCAAATATTGCAATAAGTATTAAATGGTATCATTTAAGTGACGATAATAAAATACCATCCGCTAACAATAACGACGAATTAATCAAAGAGGAAGTTGTTTATCGCGAGGATGAACAAATCATTGGATCATATTTGACAATCACACAAGTAACATTGAATCACTATGGAAGATATTTATGTCGAGTTGAGATTGGAAATTCGCCAAAACATCGATTAGATATGTCAGCATCACTCATAAATGCACTGCGGATCGAAGCAAATGCCAAATCTATCCTCACAAATCCCGTTTTTCTCGGATCGTGTGCTGCCATAATCGCTCTCATCACGTTTTTTCTTATATTTCATTTTACAAAACAGAAGTGGATGAGTTTTATAAACTTATCAAAAGCAAATAAAGGGGATGTAAATTTTAATATTAGCTCAACACCACTCAATTTCCAAAAGTCAAGAAAAAGTAGTCAAAATGAATGTGACGATATGAAAGTAATGATTGACATAATATAAGCACATTCAAATAACATCATAGATGAACAATCTATGTACATGTTTACATCATCAATATGATCTATATACTTAATACGTTTATCTAAATTATATTTCATTATTTTTTTTAATAACATGTAAGATATTTTTAATGTCAGTAGACTTTAGAAAAAGAAATAAATGTCTATAGAATCCTTTCTTTCGGCTGTGATGAAGAATAAAATAATCATTAGAATAATTTAACAATGAAATGTAAAGTAATCAATGATAATAAATGAATATTCTTAAGTATTATTACGCATTAATTCAAACATGATTTTTAATCAATATTCTTTTAAATTAAATTATAGTTCGTCTTTTTCAGTGTTAAGGTTTTTGAAAAACTATTAGTTTATAATTATTCAAAATCACATTAAAACCTAGTCACAGAGGAATATAGCGAATTCAGGGAAATTACATGGAAATTTTTAAATGGAAAATTATTAAGCTGTTTAAATGACAGAGCCTTTTCTGAGAATGAAATAATTGAATTCATGCTAAAACAAATTAATATTATTATGACATGTTCAACTCACTCACAGTTGCTGAACAGAGCACAAATACTTTTTTACTCAAATATTGCATGTAGGCTGTTGGGTTTCCAAGAATTTTCGATATAAAATTTTGCTGCTGCTGTATTGCTTTTGGCTTGAAAAATTTCATTTCGTTGCTAATATCTATTTCAAGATCAAATTCAATAAAATTTTAAGAATTAATGCACTTAATATAGTAAAAGTAATTTATAAAAGTTTTAAATATTCAATTAGGGTCTGTCCTTTTGTTACGTTACTTAAAAAGCTAGTTTTATTTTAGACCCCTCATTTGATCAGCGACATAATAACTAAGCGAACCATTTGAAGCTATGCAAAAACAATTAATTGATTCCGGGAAAAATAAAAAAAAAATTAATCTTTATTGACAATAAATACAAAAGTAGAATATTCAAGATGGCTGTTATAGCTTTCATAAACTTTCTTTCAACTTAAACCATGAAACACAGATTAAAGCTTCATTTTTAACTGTTGAGTTTAGGAAAAATTATAAGATATTCAATAACTTGTAGGAAAAGAATTATTTTTAATCACCTTGTGGTTATGCTTCCAGCAAGCTCATTTCCAATTTAGTGAGAACAGAGAATTCCATCCATTAATTGAAATTGTTAAGCAATAAGTTGAAGCATTTCAGTTTCACCGCAAATTGATTCTTCGAATTTTGCTACTAATAAATGAGATATCATTATTACCATTGCTGCCATACAATTCATAAAAGCTGTTGACGATTCTTCAATTGGATACGAATTTCTGTACAAATGCCATTTAATTTTCTTTTACTTCTTTTGCTCTACACCTCATTGTATTCCAATTAACGTGTATTGTGTTTCATATATGAATGCATCAACCTACCAACAAGATGACATGTTCGTTCACAATTTGCGTGAAACTTGTTGAGGCTTTTTTTTACATTTTCATAATGCAGTTTTTTTATGTGTAAATTTTAATGAGACAAGAATACTTTTTAAAGCGACATGGCACTAAATATCATAAACATTCATCTGCTTAAATAATTCAGGGATTAACCACAAAATAAAATTCCGCGAATCTCGAATACTGGTTTCTTATATCTCGTCATGAACTAGAATGTCGGATTTTCAGAAAATGTTTTCTCTGGAATTTAATGTGCAAATTTCACAGGTATGGTTTGTTAAGTGAGTTAATTCAAAAAATTAGTTTTTTTAAGCAAAAACATTTAGTCTAAGAATTAGTAATTTTTAAGCTTTTAAAATACTTACGTGTAATTTGTGTTGGTAGATGAAAATGTAGTTTACAAGATTCATACTCACTTAGCTGAAATTGTTTATGATGTGGTTTTTCTTGGTAATCATTTTAAATATTTTGGTTTCCATCTAAGATAGTGACTAAATACATTTATGTTTAAAACACCTTCCATTGATTCAGAAACAAAACCTTCCATTGAACTAGTATAACGGGTAGAAACCCAATGCAGATATTATTTTACCCTATTATCTAAAGCTAAATTGATGTATCAAACTAAGTTAATGAGTAAAACAACAATACGCTTTACTTCCTATGCTCAAACTTTAATTTATTCGTCAATATATTTCGATAGCTATGCTATCATTATCAAGACTTCATCTCAACTCAATAAAATAAATAATAAACTTATGTTTTTAAAATAAAAAATTAAGTAAGGAAGGCTTTTTGCTTTTGAGGAGCAACTGCTGTTCCAACCATTCCCAAAAAAATACAGAAGCTGAAGTTCAGTAATTTTGATTTTCTAAAATTTGAATGTCAAAAAACCTTTAACAAGCTACAATGAGGTTAAACTTTTGAAAAGTAATTATATATTTTGCCTTTGGGTTCTCATTAATCAACTAATCAAAAACTGATCGTTGCCGAATGTCTTTTGCATTTATATATTTTTTTTTGATAAATCCAAATGTTTTTGTTTCTCATATTTTTGTTTTTGTGAGTATTATTAATTCTAATGGAAAGTGAATGATTTATATAACAAAATAATTTAAAAAATAGAAAAATTGATAATTTAAAAAATTCAGCCCACATGTTTAAACAACAAAAATCATGACATAACAGGTGCTTACACGTTTGGTGAAAATTCATCAAATCATACAAAGAAATATTCTCAGTTCCTTTATTATGTTGTTAACAAAGAAAAACAAAATCATTTTTCGGTACGTTAAAAGAGAACAAGAAGCCAGAAGAGAAAAAATATTTTATTTTATTGAGAATTAGGAAAACAAATGTTGAGAGATTTTTCAAAAAGCAAAGTTCTTAACAAACACGTGGTTTAACTCAGCAAAATATAATGTGTAGACGCCTTTTTAACAATTGAAACAGTGATAAAAAAAATTTCTTCTAATTATTATAAATTTTATTAATTTTTTAAATATATATGTCTCATTGAGAGTGCGTCAACACATGAAATTAAATTATTCTGAGAATTGTTTATTTGATAATATTTGCCCTTAGATGGTTTTTCTGGTTTTTCTGAAAAAAAAAAGAAATTAACTTGTTGATCTCACATTACTTAAGCTGATATGACTTCTTATCTTCGTCCAGACAAATATTGAGAAAAATTTAACTGTAAAATTATTTTAGTATTTTTTTTTTATTTTTTGGTATATACCTTTAGTATTAATAGCAATATGTTTTCAAAGTAATTTAAATTGTTTTGAAAATAGATAATTAATTTTACTTTAAATGATTCAGAAGACATAAAATAACTGCTTAAGGAACTGATTAAATATAAACATAAATATAATTGATATACTATGGGTCCTCAATTTGAGTAGATTCGATTCGAATAGTTTCTATTTGAGTAACGAGAATTAATGAATAGAAAATTTAAGAAAAAAATTTTGTAACGGACATTTTTCATACAAAAAGTAAATAATTCAATTTGAGAAGATTCGATTTGAATAAGATTTTTTTGGAACTAAACACCTACTCACACCGATGACCCCCAGTATTGTGTAAATATTTACATCAAGACTCATCAAAAATTTGATGGACTTTATTAGTCAAGGTTCAATAGCAAATCTCTTTCAAAAGTCGTTCCTTAATAAAATAATGCTCTAAAAGAGAGGAAAAGGGTCATAGTTTTGTCCATCATTTTCTTCCGTGGTCTTCAGTATTTTGGTTTTTCTAAATCTAGTTAACCTAATCTTTTCCTTTATGCCCCTTACTTACTTTCTTGGCTGGGGCACACGTGGGCCCATTGCCGTAGACAGTTCTTTCCTGAAAGACCTTCTACCAGTTCGGAATATTAAGGGCTCTCGCGTCCTTATTCACACATCCAATCCAGGTATTCTTTGGTCTTCCTTTAGATCTCTTGCCATCTATAAAATCTGCAACTGTTACTCTAAGTACTGGAGCGTTTTGCGGACATCTAAAAACACATCCAGCCCATCTTAACAGATTTGAACGGGGAACCGTAATAATATTATGCTACATATTCCAATTTAAATAATATGAATTAAATGAACCTTACTAGAGCATGTCATTCCATAGTGATGAAAATTTGAATTTTCTAGAATATGATTTTACACACAAAAGAGTTTCTAGAAATTCAATTTTTCATAAGTGTCATCAACATCTACAGATCAACAAATTCTAGAATAAACATTGATTGATTATGTGCGCAGGACGACTTGATATTTTGCGTTGCAGTAGCAAATTCTGCGAATAAAATCCATTTAATTTTCTTAGAAGTCGAAATATTTGCGTAAGAATAATTTATGAGAATTGGAAAGTAGCATTATAGAATATCAAAACTTCGATCAATATTTTTTCCTAAAACTTACGCGTGGGATGGTGAAAGATTTAATTTTCCCATCTCAATTCAAATTTTATAGCAATCAAATACTCAGAATTCATCAAATTTTCATATGTTTACTAAACGATATCCTCAGAGTGGTTGTATACTTATCACAAAAAAAGGTAATTGAGCTGGACGTGTTGAAAAATAATTTGTAAAATTTTCAATGAAGTTTCTTGATAGCTTGAGGTTACCATCAAGTTTCAGGCACTATCAAATGAAGCTTAAGATCACAATTGATTAATAATACTATTCTTAATACTTTTTATAAATATTATAATATTCTTATAGTCTTAAGAATTGAAATAACAGCTCTGGTTATAAGAAGCCCTTCCAAGAAAAACAATTTCAATTTACTTACCATAGCAATGATTTTAAATTGTACAAATCATCATATGAAACCTAAAAAAGAATAAGTAATTTCCAAAAATGTCATTTATTTGCAATACCTAAATAGAATTTTTTTCAGAAACTATTCTTTTAAAGGTCGAATTTCTCAAAGAATATTAGCTGAATAAAAATGAAAATCGATAGAAAAAAAATCCCCATTTCCTCCTTCAAATAATCATGACCCATGATTATTTTCATAAAGTAATGAAAAGAAAATATTTTATATCCTTGTATGTGAAAATATGAAAGTTTCAAATTCTCGGAAGTGCTATTTTCATACAAAAAGCATTTTTCTTGTCATTTATACTAAAGTGAGAAGTTTTATAAAGGCAAAAAATGATGAGTACCCAGGCAACATCAAAAAGGCTTTTATGTAAAAAGGAAAACATTTCATTAATAAATCCCTAGATGTCATGAACAGAGACATTTTGGCCTCAAAAGCAAGAAACACAAGAAAGTGCGTAAATTCTTTTCCAAGAAATTGATGTTTATGAAAGTGATTTTTGGTAGGAATAAGCAGCTTAATCCTATCCTCATCGTTTATGATGTGAAAACATTGATATTGATTTTGTTTTGTTCCCAAAATAAAAGCTCAACTCTTTTGTTTGTGGAATGAAAAAAAAAATATTGCAAACTTTGTTGGATGGATTTAAAAATTAATTTTCGTATCCAAGGTTTCCTATTTGCATAATAAATCCTAATATAATGTAAATTTTTGTTGCTATATAAACGAGAAAATTTTATATCTCAATTATTTCATAAAATAATTCTAAATAATCCATTTAATCAAAGAATAGGTGTTTAAAGATGTGAATAAATACACATTATATCATGTAATATCTTTATGACATTATACAAAAATAAGTAAAATTAATCTCATTATGATGTGACATTAGATCTGAAAGAATACATTAATATCATTTCAAATGTTATGTGTGGTCTCCTTTTCTCAGCTTCTTCTCATCTCTTATTCTTTTGTATGTTTCATATACACATCATTCGTACATTATTTCGTTTTAATTCATGGCAGGGGTTAAGTAACTGATGGAGTTGAATTACTAGTTTTTAATGGTAATTTTTTCAAAATAAATTGCAGTGACGCATCCAGAATCAGAATCGCAGTGCCTCGTTGCAAAGTGTACTAACACATCGCTTGTCTGGAACCCTCTCATATTACTATGGGTCCTTGATTTGAGTAACGAAAATTAATGAATAGAAAATTTAAATTTTTTTTTGTAACTGACATTTTTACACAAAAAGGAAATAATTCGATTTGAATAGGATTTTTCTGGAACAAGACACCTACTCAAATCGAGGACCCCCAGTATTAATATTATTATTAAAATATATTAAAAATTAAGTCTGATGAGGGTTCTAGGGTCGTTTACTTATAACAAACATCTGAACCCAACTCCTTAAATGATCGGCGTTATAAATATATCATAAGTAATAATTAAATAACGCCATATCCTTGTTGATCTATATGCTAAAATTTCTCTTTAGGTATATTGAAATGAAAAGTCAGATACTAAACTCCTGAAACAATAAAATGTGATTGTGAGAAAGCTCTTAACGAAAAGAATGAGTTGCCTTTTACCATTTAAATTGTGATGTATTCTTTCTCAATCATCTGAAATGATGTATAATTAATTGACTTAAATAAATTTACAAATCTTTCTTTATTTCAAATTTGGAATTATTGTAGTTTAAGTTACATTTCTTTGAGTCTTATTTTGACACCAGCCTGAATATGGCTTTAATTCAACTATATCTTGATTAATTATTAATTTTGATGAATGAGATTTACATATATCATGAAAATGTGGCATAAAAAGTTTAAAAAAAGTTGCCGAGCGAGAAAAAAAAAAAAGCTTTTTTTTAAGCTTATGAACTACGTTAATAAATTATTTTTGAACTGGCTTGTTCGGTGCTGGAGGGCAGCCAATGAAGCCATAGTTCACCATGATTTTAAATGCAGTTCCTTGAGGTGCATCCTTTGGGATCTTTCCGACTTCGTCTACGAAACTGCAGAACTGATTTATTGCTTCTTCAATGTTGGGGATTCTCTTTAGACGTTCTTGAGCTTCTGTGAATTTCTTGAAAAGGCTTTCATTCTTTACTGCTTCGTTGAGTTTCTCTGCATAACTGATATTATTGATCAGTTGTTGCTGATTAATCTCTTCTTTAAATGTTGCTGATGAGTTACTTGCAGCATTCACTGGATGTGAATGAGCAGAAACTTGATGTCGTTTGCTTAACGATGGAAAATTGTTACTGTCCAAAAGACTTGATATCTGTGGCAGCATTTTGAGTTGTGGTTTGACTCTTGACTTTTCGATTCTTTTGGAATACGAAATGAACGATGGGCACAGTCTATAACTGGCAGCATGATCGCCATTGCAATTAATGCACTTGGCATTTCCATCACGAGTGGATCGTTGACATTGATTTGGTCCGTGAACTTCCGTGCACTTGACGCATCGGAATTTATATCCACAATTTTGAGATGAGTGACCCCAACGTTGGCAGTTGAAGCACTGCGTTGGGCTTTTGTTGCCCTTCTTGATGTTCTCCCACTTGACGATGATGTTGTCGATGTTACGGTGGTTATGATTGAGCACGTTGATGTTCACACTTTCATCTTGAAAATGCACAAGATAAAAGGTGAACTCGGGCTTCTTGACGAGAATTGTCACTTTGACAGCTGAAACCTTGGCTTCTTGAAGTAATCTTAGTACTTCATTCGTTGGTGTTTCGTAAAATCCTTTCAGAACGAATGACTTTGTTTTCTCCGATTTCTCGGAGAAGGTGTGGAATTGAATAGTTTGAGACCGCAGAAGGTTTATTATTGAGGCCTTATCCTCAATAGACTTGACAATTACTTGAGTTGTATTTGATGATGAAATTTTATATGCAGGCATAACCTGCAATTTCAATAGTGAAATTAATTTTCTCACATCCTTGAGACTGCATTGCACAAATATTGGCTTGACTGAAGTTGTTGTTGTGACTGGAACCGATGATTCCTCTTTCTGAGGCGTTTGCTTCCTCTTCTTGGAATTTTCATTAGATTTGATTGAACTTTCGTCCAAATCAATTTTTGGCGACAAATCTTGCTTTCTTTTGGCTTTCCTCATTGTCCTTGAGGAAAACACAACCCTTGGCACTAAGTAAGAAGGTTTTTTTCCAACTAATAACGACTTGAACACTTTAATTAATTTAATAAAAATTTTTCCACGTTTTTGTGCGCGGGGCTTGAAACTTTTTTCTCACGTCTGACTTAAATAAATAAAAAATACAAAATAAAGATTTATCATTTCTCACCACAAAAAGATTTATTTATTATGGAAAGATTGTATTGGTATTCATATTAATTTTATTCTTACTTAAGTCTTTAAACATGATCTATATGTATATTGGGTCGTGACTAATATTAAACTATTTACAAATTTATTTAGAAAACTTTTGAAGAACTTTGACAAATGACATGACATATCAGTTTTCTATTCTCCTTTTCAATTTATTTACTGTATACAATAATATCTATTTGTTCAACATATATTAGAATCTAATAAATCAGTTAAACCTTTTGACATCAAAATTTGATGTAATCGGCACAAACAAAAATTTCAATCTGCTTATGTTTTTGAAAAAGAACTTTTTTTCTAAGAAAAATCTGCCGACTTTATTTACTAAGTTCTTATACTTTGGTACAAAAGAACAAAAGTATGAAAAATTCATTTTCATCAATAAAACATTGATACCAAATTCTTTTTATATTATTAAGTCCATTTTCATTTTTTTTTTTTTACTGACGTATGATGACTTAGATCTAAGTTGAACTGTACAGCTTTTAAAAATGTAATTTCAAGTTCAATTGATTTCATAATGTCTGAGAATTATATTTTGATCTATTTCTGCCAATGTTTCGATTTGCTTCTTTTTTGTATGATTTGTATTTTAAATTAGACCCTAGATTTTTAAAGATTCTACTTCTATTTAATAATGTGTGAAGGGTTCTGCCTTTCAGCTGGAGGCACTGCGATTCAAATTAGAACAGAATCTATTGTCCCACAGTTTATAGTGGGATTGCAAAGACACGAGTACGTCATAAGACCTCATGTACCCTGCAATGAACCTAGTCACAATTCGTGTGCGCAAGATGCCGTAAGGAAGTCATCCAGATGCTAGTATATCCTTGTATACCTAGCAAAGGAGGTAGATTCTGTGCCAAAGACCTCAAAACTACACCCAGCACAAGAACCGAGCATCGTAACTAGAACGGTAAAATGGAAAAAGAGCTTCGTAAATTAGACATGGCCTGGGATTGAACCCAAGACCTTTGGCACAAAAGGCCAACGCTCTACCATTTAGGCCACTGATGCCATTTCACCGCTTGAACTTCTATTTAAAAGAGCCCAACTCCGAGTTGACTCGAGTCAACTCGGGTTTTTTCTGTTTCATTGCCATCCTGGCTTAAAATTCCAATTTTTTATTGATCATCAATTTAATGATTCACTTTTTATTTTATTATTTTCAATATAAAAGCACGAGGTTTTGAACAGTAAAATATTCTCGCTTGGCAGATCAATCTGTACCTAAAAAGTTTCTGTACCATACTTATAATAAATATTTATCACTTTAAATTTGTGTTTTCTGAGCAATGAATTGAAATTATGAAAAAAAAATTACAAAATTTTAAACAATATTTCAAGATATTTTTCAAGCTGCTTCTTAGGTATGTCATGTTTCAACAATAATACTTGAGCCAACTTTAATTATTTTACTTAAATCATTAGCAAATTTTTTTTTTTAAAAAAAACAATCTTCATGTAACTTTTGACTGTACTTGACTCATAATTTTCTTATTTTAACATTTCATATCAAAAGGACATTCACAAACATTATTAACTACAGTCTCTTGATTATTTTAAAGAATTTTATTTATACTGCCAATTGTTATTGACAGTTGAGATTATGGAATGTATGAGTGTTCTTAAGTTTACTAGAGTATACAGCGAGGAAGATATTAACTTAAGAACTGCCTATTTGGATTTTAATATCATCACATTTATTGCGCAAATGTCGGTTCACATCAGACTTCACTGGTTGTAAATGTTTTCGACAAGAGAATACTGCAAGTTCCTTATTCTGAAGATCATCTTCTTTTTTTACGCTAGCACCGACGTAATCTAACCACCACGACTTCGTGCAGTGTAGGAAAAGAAAAAACGTGATGAGAGCAATAATAGCAGCACAAGAACCAAGAAAAATATGATTTGTGAGAATAGATCTAAAGTTTGCCTCAATGGGAAGTGCATTAATGAGTGATGCTGTCATGTCTAATCGATGATTATATGAATTGCCAATTTCAATTCGACATAAATATCGTCCATAGTGATTCAATGTTACTTGTGTGATTGTCAAGTATGATCCAATAATTTGTCCATCTTCTCGATAAACGACTTCTTCACCAATATGATTATCATCATTATTTATTGATTCTACTTTACTATCGTCACTTAAATGATGCCATTTAATACTTATTGCAATATTTGGTAGTGCTTTCTTTCCAATAAATGCTTCACAATAAAATCTAGCCGATCCATCAACATTTACAAATTGATCGACAGGTTTAAATGTTGCTAAGGGAATATCTGGCGATGAACTTATAACTTTAATGTCAATGTGATGTTCTAACTTATGTGTTGCATTCCGTAGAACGCATGTGTATTTTCCTTCATCAATTTTTGAAGCTTTTCTTGTGAAAATCGTTTGGTTTTCTGCATCTGGATATAAAATGAGTGATGATGTATCCTCTGATGACCATGGATAACTTTTACCGTCTTTTAACCTGTAAGTAAATTAAAAAAAATGAAATCATGATTTTTTTTTTCAGAATAAAACGTAACGAATAAATGTTAATTTGCGTCATATATGACTCTTATCTCCAATAAATATTATTATTACCAACTAATACTCGTATCCATTTCTAGGAATATTTAATTTACTATACGAATCGCTATTGGCAATAATCTTGAAACGTTTGCTATTATTTTTTTAAATCTCATGAATATGAGAAAAGTAAGAAAACTTTATAATGATTTTTTCAAGTGAATTCATTTTGCAGTTTATTAATTTATATTCCAAGAAATTCAATTAAAAGTAGACTCTATGGCAAGCGAGCTAAGCCACTGTCATCTTGTCGAAGGCCCTTAAATCATCTTGAATTTTCATCGAAATTTGATGTTTCATCACACTTGAACGCTGATCCCAGAAATACATGTATGTATGCTTTATTCAAAATGCGAACTCAATATCGCTTCACAAAGCAACTATGAAAAAAAAGGCGAACAAACAGAGAATGTGCAAAAGGAAGCATAAAGAAGAAGAGATGAATGAATTCTCAGAAAACTTCTCGAAATAATTTTTTTTTTATTTCTTTCATGGATGTGAGAAGTATAAAATATGAAAAATCTTTAAATTGAGATCAAGCAGAATGCAATACTGGAGGCAAAGAAAAAAAGTCGGGAAAGAAATAAGATCATTGTTCTTCTGCACAGCATCAAAATAACAGCATGTAAAATTAGCAATTGAACATTATGATTGATACGAGAAATAAATTCATCATTTTTATTCGTGAAATATTTCATTTCAATGGCTTGTTTTAAAAATAGTCTATAATTTTCCGGAATGTGGATGCGTACATAATGTTTTTTTTCTTTCTTGGAAATCGAAATAGTGAAATGCGTCATCTTCGGTTATTGATTTTATTTACAACTATTCTAGCATAAAGTTCTATGTTGCACTTGATTTAATTTTAGTTTTGAGATTATTTCAATTGTAGGAGATTTATATTAGCAAAGAAAATTTGATTGACCAATGCGAAAGCATCTTTAATCGACTCCACAAGCACAACTTTCTTAATAACATCACGTTCGATTGATGCAGCATGGGAAAAACATAAAAAAATTTGCCACAGCGAAAATTACAAAAAATACCTATTTACAATATCGGATGATAATCCATGAACCGTAAATTAAATATTTTATTGCCTCAAGAGAACATTTAGCGCATAAATCATTACTGACAAGATAAATTCCCTTCAATCATTTAAAAGAGGAAGAAATTCAGACGAATTTCCTTGAAATGCAATACATTTGCATGGAAAAAAATTCACATTTAATTTTTGCACTTTGTTGCTTCACTGAGCACAGCAAATTTCCAAGAAAATATGAAAAACTTTTAAGTCTTCATATTAAACATTTATCTTTGTTGTCATACATAATTTGTAATGCTGTGATAACTTTATTAACTACATGTAGTGTAAATTTATGAAAAGAGGTTCGGTTTAAAGTTTTAACAGCCATTTTCACACAGAAAAAATTGACTCTTTTTCTCATAGAACTTTTTATTTAACGAGGTCATGATTTTCTACACGAAGAGCATTAAATGTAATATAATAATTATACGAAGGACAAACGAGTTGCTTGAGTTTTGCTAAATTTTGCTGATATTTGAAACCTTATTTATGAAATTCAATCTAATTTTGAATTTATGAAAATATTGAAATTTTATTTAAATCATATGACTAGGCTGACCAACTCCTTATGCAGAATCGTCTCAACTTTTCTAGAATCGACTTCATTTTCTCGGACTCAACTTGAGTCGACTTCGAGCTCTGGTTAACAGTAAGGCTCTATAAGTAAAAAATATTTTTTTAAACTAATGTAAGCACCAAAGTCTTCCCCAATTAGCATCTTTAAAGACGACTTTACTAAAAGTAAAACTTCATCCAGTCAGGACAGAACTCATGTCAATTTTTCAGATAGATAACTTCATAATAAAAAAAACTTTAAAGCTTCTTTAAATGAGGATTTTTTTTATATTATTGAAGATTTCTATTTCCACGAAAATTTGCGCTGAAAATATTTTGCTAATTTTTTTTCTAGGAATCTCATTGAATTGTAAACAGTACATAAATTTTCATTTTGAAAGCATAAACATTGTATAATCTTCTCAAACAATAAGAAAATGTGAGAAAATGAAAAAAAAACTCTAAAAAAATTATATCTTCAAATATTTGTAGATTGTCGGCAACTAGAAAAAATTTGAATTGAGATAATGTTTTTAAAATAATATAAAGTCATTAAGTTTATTTGCTCAGCATATTGTATGTTGACGTTAAGTGTATCTAAGCATGTTTACATATGCACATGATTGTTGAAAGAATTATTGTACAATATTTGAGAAGTTCAAAGGCACAGACTGACTCATTTCATGAGAATTCAAATTGGAATGACAAGAGATTTTCTCACTTCATAAATCTTTTTAAAAAATGATTTAAAATTCTAAAACAAATAGAACAAGACTTAGTGCAGGTGTGTACAGACAACGATATCAATTTCATGACTTTGTCAACCAAATTCTTAAACTGATTTTCCATTTCACACATTATACTACAAAGAAAAACTAATTGTTATTGTAATGTCTGCACCTTTATAGCATTGAAATGTTTTCTCATTATTCTGCAAATTATGTTTCACATGTAAGCTGAAACCAATTTGTTTAAAAGTTATAGATCCTAGAGCTAGCACTAAAATACAATGAGAAAAAAATTTACTTATCGTATCAATTTTCCACAACATAAACGAGTTTTGATTTAGCTTACATTCCGGAAATTTTATGAACTTTGAACTGATTGGCGCCTAACATTAAAAAGAAACAATATAAGTTGGAATTAGGTCCTTTAAAAAATTACTTTAAAAGCTTTGCAGGCTGCCTACAATAAATGTATGTATTCTAAACTAAAGTTTTCGCCTCATCCTTATCAAAAGTTTAAACAGCAAACAATTTTCAACGGTTTTTTCAAAATGAACCTTAATTTCCAATATTTTTTTGTCATTCTACTTCATATTTATTAAGCCCTTATTTCAACAACAAGAGATGTAAAAATCCTATATTTTTTGCATTAATTCTTGACTTCCAAGAAGTACACTTAACAAGATTTTCATTTTCCTGAGCCAAAAACATATTCATGCACGAATAAAAATATAATTGGATTCTGCGCACATCTCGCTCCAGTGTAAGGGTATGATGGATAATTTCTAAGAATTCTTGTTTTCCCCTGACGCGCTTAACAAACAAAATTATTCTCTTGAAGACGCTTTCTATAAATCTTGGCAAATCTTGAAGGCAATTTGGTTATGTACACAGAAATAATTTCGTTTATGCTAATGTAAACGGAATATTTTCAATAAATTGTGACAAATTTTTGTCGCTTTTTCATAGAGCATTCCTATCGACTTAAAAGATCCTAATAAGTTATTTTATTTATTTTATTTATGCATTAGTCTATCTCACAAAACAATAAAAGAATTAACAAATTAAAATATAAAAATTAAAATCAAACTTGGAGATGACACCGCTTTAGCAGTTGGAAGTAACGAAAATTGCTGACAGAATTAATTAAATTCAGAAGTTCAGATGTATGATAATCGGATAGCACTTCTATTCGATTTGATTTGATTTATAATAACGTATCTTAATAATTTAAACATTTAACGGTTTTCAAAAATTTAAATGGATCGGTTATTAATAAAGTGTGTATATGTGTTTGTGTGTTGATAATTTGTAAACATTGAATTTGGAAAAAGAAATAAATGTAGGCTAGTAATTCAATAAGGAACTCGCCAGTGATGATCATTAGGATATTCTCCTCGTCTTGTGCTGATCTGATGCCATAAGTAAGTCAATTTTATCAATTAAATATTTTTTTAGTTCCGATTTGAATTTTTCTAGATTTGTGATTTCCCTGATTTTATTGTCAAGTTGATTATACAGCATAACGCCCATATAACTGATGTCACGGCCTAAACACTGCTTCCTGTTGTATCTAGGTGCGATAAGTTGTCCGAATGATCTTCTATTGCTGACATTAATGCTGAATTCCATCAATTCTGGCCTTTGAAGAAGTCTAGACTTTTGGATATAGACTAACATCGAGAAGTAGATGATGCCAGTAACAGGGAGAGTATTTGGCATGTAAGTTTTAAATAGATCGAGAGTGGGATGAGTATTCTCTAGACCAAATATGTGCTTGATGCATTTATTTTGTAGTCTCTGGAGTCGAAGTGACTGCTCAACATTCAACTTTGCCAGGATAAACGGACAATAATGCAGATGTGACATGAAGTGAGCGTTGAAGAACTGAATAAGCATGTTTGGTGGAAGATGATGCTTGATTATTGATAGGACTCTACAAGATTGTGTAAGTTTGTTGATTAAATTATCTACATGCTCATTATATGAGAATCTTTCATCAATGGTGACTCCTAAAAATTTGTGACTTTCCACTCTCATGATGTCAATTCCATTGCTGATCGATATTTGTGATGGAAGTGCAGCTAGTGAGTTATTTTTTATCACCATGAATTTGGTTTTGGAATAATTGAGCATTAGACCACAGCTTGCAAAGTGGTCATCCATTAGTTTGACATCCTTGATCATTTCTTCTAGCACTTCATTAATGTTTTCCTTTTTGCATGATTTGTAGATCACATTATCGTCCGCAAACTTCAACCTTGAGGATGAGATAGTTGGAGAATCAAGTAAAATAATGTTAAATGAATGAGGTCCTAAGATTGAGCCTTGAGCGACTCCGTGATCGTTGATGACTGTTTTGCTAATTGTTGTGCCAATTTTAACAGCTTGAGTGCGATTGTTGAAGTAGGAATGGATTAATTCTAGCACATGCCCTTTTATACCAAGGTAAGATAATTTTTTTAATAGTACTTTGCGATCAAGTGTGTCAAACGCGGATGATAGGTCCATAAAAATTACCACGACACATTC